TTTTCGCAGTACTTTACCCTCCCCGGGTTAATCCATATGGAATGGATGGAATGGGGGGTGGACTGCACAAATTCCAGATGGATTCCATGGAATGGGGGATGGATTCCATGGAGTGGGGGATGGATTCCATGGAATGGGGGATGGATTCCATGGAATGGGGGATGGATTCCATGGAATGGGGGATGGATTCCATGACTTTGGGGGATGGATTCCATGAAATGGGGGATGGATTCCATGACTTTGGGGGATGGATTCCATACTCTATTCTATATGTTCTATACCATTTTAAGGGTGGAATTCATATGGACTCCATATGGAATCCACATGGAATCCACATGGAATCCACATGGAATGACTTTATGAAATAATTCTAAGTCCACATCATGTAATCATAGTTTCTACATTCATGAGTCATAGCTTAGCAGGAAAAATTGAAATGTATTAAATAGACTACACAATTTATGTTTACTATTCTCAATATATAAGGGAGGGGGGAAGACAGGGGGAAGTGATGGAGGGGGAGGATGTAGTAGAGTGAGGGGGAGGGAGGGGGGAGGGGGAAGGAGTGATGGAGGAGAGAGGGAGTGGTGAAGGGAGAGGTGGGAATGGATGGAGGGGGGAGCAATGGAGGGAGGGGGAGAAATGGGAGGGGGAGCAACAGAGGGAGGGGGAGCAATGAAGGGAGGGGGAGCAATGAAGGGAGGGGAGGGTCAATGATGGAGGGGTGGTGGTGAGGGATGTTGGAGGGAGGGGGAGCTTACCCGGGCTCGTCGTTGCCCATTTCCGTTCACGCGAGCGGAATCCTCCATGCGTGGGTGCTCTGGGTCCACGTTTGTGGGCGGTGAGCTCGTTTTGGCGTGGGCAGTCGTGGCGTGGGCGGTTGCGTCGTCTTCGTGGGCGGTTGCGTCGTTTTCGTGGGCGGTCGCATCGTCTTCGTGGGTCTTCGCGTCGTTGCGTCGTCTTCGTATCGTTGCGTCGTCTTCGTGGGCGGTCGCATTGTCTTCGTGGGCGGTCGTGTCGTCGTCGCGTCGTCGTGTCGTCTTCATGTCGTCGTGTCGTCTTCGTGGGCGTTGGCATCGTCTTTGTGGGTGGTCGCATCGTCTTCGTGTCGTCGCGTCGTCTTCGTGTCGTCTGTGTGGGCGGTCGTGTCGTCTTCGTGGGCGGTCGTTGACGTCCGTGGGCGGTCGTCCTTGGTCGTGGGTGTCGTTGACGTCGGCGTGGTGTGGTGGTGGATCTGCCACGTCACCACGTGGCACCTGTGGTTTGGGTCAGCTCAATGGGTGGGGTGATTTGTTTGCGGGTGGAATGAAATGACGGACGACGACATTCGTCGTCGTCCGTCATCTGGTTGCCACGCCGCTGGCTTACCTGGGCTTTCCGCTCGCCGTTGTTCCCACCCATCCGTGGTCGTCGTCAGCGTCGTTGTTGGCATCGTCACCAGCGTCGTTGTCGTCGTTGTCGGCATCATTGTCGGCGTCGTTGTCGGCGTTGTCGACGTTGTCGTCGCGGGCGGTCGTGGCTTGAGATGGTGGGGTGGATGGTGGTGGTGGTGGTGAAAGAAAGAAGCGACGTGGCAACGCGACAGCCATAACTGTCACGTTTGAGACGCCACGTGACAAACGACGCTATATAGAGACCTTTAGTTTACCTTGTAACAAAGCCGGTGTGGCTCAGGTGGTTAGATTGCTGCTTCTATTCACGATGTTGTGGGTTCAATTCTCTCAGATGCAAAAATTTTATTTTTACTTAAATATAGTAAGGACACTATAAATACTATATCTATATGTATTCTAATGGTATAATGGTCATTAATTCCTTCCATGGAATCCATATGAACTGCTCCATGGAATCCATATGGACTTGTTCCATGGAATCCATATGGACTTGTTCCATGGAATCCATGGTGGATATGCCTAAGTTCCATATGGAATTCAGTGGAATCCAGGTGGAATGGCAATGGATTCCATATGGAATTGACCATTCCATGATCATTCCATGATCATTCCACATGGAATCCATGATGTCCATGGAACAACAAATTGGCTGTGGTCTCAGCCAAGTTTCATTCCATGGATTCCACATGGAATTGGTGATGGATTCCATGGATTCCACATGGATTCCATATGGATTAACCCGGGGAAGGTAAAGACCTCCTTTTCGCTGCCGAACTGATTCTGGCCACTTTCAAATTCAAGATTTTTATAATTATGGTATTTATTTGTATTTATTCAGATTACTGGTCTGTCAACATGTCACGTGGCAGGACACTCTCTTCTGCAACAAGCGCCCACCACGACCATCGACAATTGGTCACGAAGACCCACCACCATGTTCGAGGAACGGCGACAACCGCCCAGCAATGTCCACAGGCGCCCAGCACCACCATCGACGAACAGCGATGACAGCCCACCACGACCTCTGACGATTGACCATCAGGACCATCGACAAGCGCCCACGGACGGCCACAAAGGCCCACCACCACCATTGACGGATGACGATGAGCGCCCATGAACGTCTACGGGGCCCACCACCAGAATCGACAAACAGCCATGAGGGCCCATCACCACCATCGACAACCACCACCAAGATCGACGGATGGCTATGACCGCCCACAACCACCATCAATAAATAGTGATTGTCACGGGTTTCAGAACCCGTGCGGGTTGCGGGTAAGGGTACATGTGGGTAGGGGTACGGGTTTGATATTGGCTACCCTCGCCAAACCCGTACCCGTGGCAGGGGTTGGCGGGTACCCGTAGCAATACCCGTCATGTCATTAGTTATTGTTTGTGTAGCTCATGGTCTGGCAAAAGATCAACAAAATACTAATTTATTGTTGCCAAATTAATTAATGAAATATTCTATGGACAAGTATGTACGAGGGGGGGGGGATAACCAATACAAGGGGGCGCAGCTACGGCATAACTTTGGGAGGAGCGAAAGGAAAGGAAAGCAAAGGAGACAAGAAAGATGCTGTGCTATATATACAAGGGACTTTAGGGCGGGTTGAGATTTAGGGCAAGCTCTCATCAAGGAGAACTTTGCAGCTTCAACAATCAGACACTTTCCTATCCACTGCGACTGCCCACCTCAATTGCGTCACCACCGACACCAACAACCACCACCACCGCTACTATTGTTCCACTGCCCGCAACCACTGCACACTCCCCAACAACAAAGACAACCACAACGCGACGCCCAGATATGACAAACAAAGATGAACCACCACCAGGCAAGACCAACCACCAGCCACCACGGCTCACGAACGACGGCCACAAACAAAAGCAGACGACGACGCACTGAGGTGAGCAAACTCACCTCCCCCGCATCACTGATCTCTTCAACACAGAATATGGGTGCCATGTCGTCGTCGTTTATTTGAGGTGACTACAGTGTGTACCCCCATCCCATGTTCGTTACAACCCACCATGCTGAGACACAGGACAATGACGTAACGATGACGTCAGACTACTCGTCCATGGGCAGGGTATATCCACTCGACGGCAAACTACGACAGCAAACAA